GGGGGGACGGCCGAAGGCGGGGACGGCCGGGCCGGGCGGCGAGGGGAGAGGCCGGCGGCGGCGGCGCGGCGGGGCCGCGTCGAGCGGAGCGCTGGGGCTTTGTTGGAGGGGCCGGGGCGGGGCCATCTTGTTCCCGCTGAGGGAAACGGCGCTCCGCGGCGTGGCATCAGCGCCGGGCACCGCCGCCTGCGGCCGGGACCGCGAGCCCGGCGCCGACGGGACGCGGGGCACCGCGGGACGCCCGACCCGAGCGCCGCCTCGGAGCGCGGGGTCGAGGCGCCGCCGTCCCGCCCCGGGGCCGACGCCACATAACCGCCCGCGGGCGCGCGGCGATCCGCGCTGCGCCCCGAGGGCACCGCCGGCGGCGGGCACGTGACTGCGGCACGTGACCTGCGGCCGCCTCCCCCCGCGGAAAAGTTGAATCCGCCCGAGGGGGCGGGGGGCTGCGCGCGGGCCGGTGGAGCCTCGCTGGTGAGCGCGTGCTTTTAAAGCGCTGTGCTGGGCCGCGGGAGCTGGGATCGCTCAGTGCGGTAAGAGGAGGTTCGGGGGAGGTGTCGTGGAGCTCTCCGGCTCCTTGGAAGGAGGTCGTGGTGAGGGGGGGATCGGCCTCTTACATAGCATCGCAGAATGGCCTGGGTTGCAAACGAGCGCACTGCTCATCCCGCTCCAACCCCCTGCTGTGTGCAGGTCGCCAACCAGCAGCCCAGGCTGCCCAGAGCCACATCCAGCCTGGCCTTGAATGCCTGCAGGGATGGGGCATCCACAGCCTCCTTGGGCAACCTGTTCCAGTGCCTCACCACCTCTGTGTGAAAAACTTCCTCCTCATATCCAACCTCAACCTCCCCGGCTCAGTTTAAAGCCATTCCCCCTCGTCCTGTCACCATCCACCCTCACAAACAGCCGTTTCCCCTCCTGTTTATACACTCTCTCCAAGTACTGCAAGGCCACAATGAGGTCTCCCCGGAGCCTTCTTGTAGCGGTGTTAGGGCAGAGGGGATTCAGGCTGGGTCTCGAGAAGAGTTACTTCTTAGAAAGAGCAGCCAGTTGTTGCAGCAGGCTGCACAGGGAGTCACCATCCCTACAGGTATTGACAGAGGGCAGAAGTAGTGCTTAGGGACACGTTTCAGTGGGCGTGATGGGGATGGGTTGGCATTGGACTAGATCATCTTGTGTGTCTTTTCTAGCCTTAATGATTTTATGAACGTGGCACAGGATGAGATGTGCTGAGGCAGGCAGGAGGAGAACAAGGCCCCAGGGTGAAGGCTGCTTGCCATGGATGAATGTGAGGGAGCACCTGAAGGCTTCTGTGCTGCTCGGAAGAGAGAGATGTGTGCTGGTGGCTGAGTAAGGCTTCTGAAGGTTCACTTTGTAGCACTTGAGGCGATATCAAACCACAGGGCTTTGCAGGGAAATGCAGGCAGGAGAAACTTTTGCCTTCAGCTAACCAGATTAGATGTGGTATAAATCAGCATCTCAACATGTGAGCGGAGTAGAGGAGTGCGCAGTGGGAAAGCTGTTAGCTAGGAGACTTCAGGAGGAAAAGCTGAGGTTCTGATTCTCTCGTTCCCGGCTTCAAAAAGCAGCAAGGCCAGTGTGGGGAGGGCAGGTGAGCGCCAGCACCGTCTGCGTGGAAAAGGCTGAGGAGAGGCACAGAGAGGCCAGGGCAGAGGGAGGAGAAAGAGCAGAGCATGCCAAGGACAAACCAGCAGAGTGAGTTTTCCTTCTGTTTGTGTGAGCGAGCGCCTGCGCTGCTTGCAGCAGGGACCTTTCCCTGGGAAGCACAGCCACTCACTGTTTTACACGAAGACAACGCCTCCAGTTTTATGCTACTGGAGAAGCACTTGTGCTGCTGATGCCCTGAAAGTAGCTTCGTGCTGGGGAAGGACACTTAGATGTCCTTGCAGGATGTCTGCTCATCGCCGTTGCAATGGCCGCCTGGAGCTCGCTGTTTCCCTCAGGTGGAAGGGCTGGTAGTGTGTGCAAGTGGAGCCTCGTGCACTCAGCTGTGGGGTTGGTTGGAGGGATGGTGGTGACGTAAAAGCTTCTTGCTGCAATTCTGGGACAAAAGTATTAATAAATTGTAAAACTATCAGTGCTGTGTTGAATTTTTCTCAGCTAATGACATGAGCCTCAAAGCACGTGTATTTTCTTCACAGATTATTTCCCTAAAGAGGGGTATATGTTAATACTGATACGTAATTATAAAATCTTATTGCGTAAGACATTCCAAGCAATAAAGATCAGTTGAAATCTATAGGCAGGGAGAAGATAGCTCACTTAGTGGTCTGAGCTGGCTGTGTAAGTATCATTGTACTACAGACACGACTGAGAACATCACTAGTGTTTGTGAACACCACCTAAAGCCCTGTTGTCCCACAGTTTGCATTTCCTGTGTCTGAGGCAATTGACTTCTGAGGTGCCTGGGAGACTCCTACCCTTTCCTCATCAAACTGATCCGTGTTCTTCTTGCTGTTCTTAGAAAGTTCCACTGAAGTTTGGTGTTCTGTGTTTGATAGATCCTGTTAATGTGTGTGTGTTAAGGCGTGTATTACAATACTAGACAGTTTCATGATTCTGAACATTGGCTGGAAACGTTTCAATTCTTGCATTCATAAGGAAAGCATCAATTTCAAAAGCTACTGCTTGACTCTGAGAAACTGACCTTCAGTGGGCTTTAATACATCCAGGGCTGTAGCTCATAACTGATCATACTATATGTGTTTTTTTAATCAAGTATTTAAGTATGTTTTTCTGAAAAACAAGCTATTATGAATAAGATCTTAAATTACAGCGCCGTAATGCAATCTGTGCAGCTTAGCAGCCGGGGGCAGCACTGAATTTCTGTTGCTTGTTCTTCTCCCTAGACAAAGTAGTCTCCAATTGGAAAAATAGTGGATCTTCTAGAGACCCAAAATTGTCATTTGGTGGTTAGGAGGCACATAAGCACAGATTTATGTACTTGAGGTGATCTGTTAGTGGAGACTGTGCCTGATGTCCAGGGAGTGTTCTTCAAAGCTGCAGCTGCTTGCTGCCTGTGGATACCTTGTCCCAGCAGGGCTGGGGTGCCCTGGATGCTAGCAAAAGGAGAAGGCTTTCCCCTTCCCTTCCTCCTTCTCTGCTCCCAGAGATTCATTCTGGTCACAAAGTGAGCTGTAAATTCACTCCTCTGGCAGAAGAACATTTAATTTTTTTTTTTTTTTTTTTTGCCAGGTCATTTTCCTGTAATTCCACTGAGCTGAGCCAGCTTGTTTTGCGTCAAACGAATACTGGTTCAGGGCAAAGAGTGGTCCTACACAGCCAGAAGCAGGTGGGAGAGGAAGGATGTGACGAGAAAAAGCAGGAAGCTTGCTCTTGATGA